ATAGTGTCTGTGAGTGGTGACAGTATCATTTTTTAAATACTTGTGCTTCCTGAAGGAGGTAAGACTGAGTAAAGTATCTGCACATAGTCAGTCTATTTGTCCATTGTCACTTATTTTATGTAAAGGAACATGAACCACTGTTTGGGTTTTTTTTTCTGTTAATCTCCTCAAAAAGTAATATGCCAATAACAGGGTTATCTGAAGAAATACAGAAAATTATATTCTTAGAATCCGCCCAGGTATCAGAATCAAAGAAGCTGAGATAAATAAATCATTTTGAAAATATGTTAGAAATAACAGAGGATGGTCAGCCTGTTTGGTTTATTCATTCTTCCTGTAGGCCCACATGCATCGTCCTTGTCCTCAGTGGATTTAAGAACTATGACAATGTATGTTTACGGTGCCTTTGTCTAGTATGAGATAATTGTGTTTATATGGTTTTGTCTCTGTGCCTTCTATTCTGTACCACGAGTCTACCTGTCTGTTTTGGTGCCAATACCATGCCATTTTTGTTACTACAGCCCTGTAGTATAATTTAAGCTCTGGTATTGTGATGCTTCCTGCTTCACTTTTCTTCTAAAGATTGCTTTGGCTATTCTGGGTCTTTTACTTTTCCAAATAAATTTCATGAGTATTTTTTCTATTTCTATGAAGAACATCATTGGAATTTTAGTAGGAATTGCATTAAATCTTTCTAGCTCTTTGGGCTGGTATTGTGGCTCAGTGGTAGAGTGCTTGTCTAGCATGTGCGGGGCCTTAGGTTCGATCCTCAGCACCACATAAAAATAAATAAATAAATAAATAAAGATATTGTGTCCAATGACAACTAAAAAATAAATATTAAAAAAATATTTCTAGCTCTTTTGGTAATATGGCCATTTTGACAATATTATTTCTGCCTATCCAAGAACACGGGAGGTCTTTCCATTTTCTAAGGTCTTCTTCAATTTCTTTCTTTAGTGTTCTGTAGTTTTTATTGTAGAGGTCTTTCACCTCTTTTGTTAGAGTTGATTCCCAAATATTTTATTTTTTTATTTGAGGCTATTGTGAATTGGGTAATTTTCCTAATTTCTTTTTCAGTTGATTCATCACTTATATATAGGACAATAGTTGATTTATGGGTGTTATTTTTATATTCTGCTACCTTTCTGAATTTACTTCGGAGCTCTAGAAGTTTTCTTGTGGAGTTTTTTGGGTCTTCTAAGTACAGAATCATGTCATTGGCAAACAGGGATAGTTTTTGAATTCTTCTTTTCCTGTAGAAAAGATAGCCTCTTCAACAAATGGTGCTAGGAAAGATGGAAATCCATATGTAGCAAAATGAAATTAAATCCCCATCTCTTACCCTGCACAAAACTCAACTCAAAGTGGATCAAGGACATAGGCATTAGACCAGAGACCCTGCACCTAATAGAAGAAAGAGTAGTCTCAAATCTTCATCATGTTGACTTAGGAACCAACTTTCTTAACAAGAAAGTACAAGCAGTAAAATCAAGAATCAACAAATGGGATGGAATCAAACTAAAAAAGCTTCTTCAAAGCAAAGGAAACAATAAAGTATGTGAAGAGAGAGCCTACAGAATGGGAGAAAAATCTTTGCCACCTGCACCTCAGATAGACCATTAATCTCTAAGATATATAAAGAACTCAAAAAATTTAACACACACACACACACACACACACACACAAAAAAAAACCTTAGTCAATAAATGAGCAAAGGAAGTGTTCAACATTTCTAGTGGCTAGTGGTTAGAGAAATGCAAAATGAAAACCATACTGAGATGTAATCTCACTCCAGTCAGAATGGAAATGATCAAGAATACAAGTAACAATAAATGTTGGTGAGGATGTGGGGAAAAAGATACACTCATACATTGCTGGTGGGACTGAAAATTGGTGCATCTGGAAAGCAGTATGGAGATTTCTCAGAAAATTTGGAATGGAACCACCATTTGACCCAGTTATCGCACTCCTTGGTGTACACCCCAAGTACTTAAAATCAGCATACTATAGTAACATGGCCACATCAATGTTTATAGTAGCTCAATTTACAATAGCTAAACTATGGAACCAGCCTAGGTACCCTTCAACAGATGAATGGATAAAGAAAACGTGGTTTATGTACACAATGGGATATTACTCAGCCATAAAGAGAAATGAAATTATGGCATTTGCTGGTAAATGGATGGAATTGGAGACTATCATGAATAGTGAAATAAGCCAATCTCCCCAAACGAAAACTCTGATATTCGGATGCTAACTCACAGTAAGGATGGGTATGGAAAAATAGAAATACTTTGGATTAGACTAAAGGGAATGAAGGGAAAGGAGAGGAGTTGGGAGTAGGAAAGTTAGTAGAATGAATCAGACATTACTTTTCTATGTTCATATATATTCATATATGAATACATGACCAATGTAATTCCACATCATGTACAACAAGATATATGGGAAGTTGTACTCCATATATGTATAATATGTCAAAATATATTCTACTGTTATGTATTAAAAAACATAAAAAAGCTACTACGACAGAAAAAGGATAGGATTTTTATAAAGCAAAAAGGGACTTCAAAGATCAGCTGGTGGGGCTGGGGTTGTGGCCCAGCAGCAGAGCACTCGCCTAGCACATGTGAGGCACTGGGTTCGAGCCTCAGCACCACATAAAAATAAATAAACAAAATAAAGGTATTGTGTCCAACTACAACTAAAAAAAATATTTTAAAAAAGATATCAGTCAGTGCATTGTCTTGGTAAGCAAGGACCTTGCCACGAAGTGGCTTGTTCAGGGTCACAAAGATGGTAGCATAATTGGAACTTGAACTCAGATCTGAGTCTTTGCACAGAATTCTTGTAAATATCCTTATTCTCTTTGCTCTCTCACTGGAAGTGCAATTTTGTTTTTCTTATTTATTTACAACTGAATCTCTTGTCTCTCTCATTATTTCCTCATCTTCACCCCTTAACATCTTCAACCTTAAGAAAAAATAAAATTACAAAAATTGTTCTCTGATATAATTTCTGATTTTGATTTTATTTTTAATTGGATCATGAACATATAAGATTAAAAACAAAATGAATTACCTTTTTGTAGAATGTAACATGACTTCTCTTGGTTCAACTGGAGGATATATCTCCAAGGGTACTTTGTAGATCTTAGTATATGAGCACTGGCTAGGAAAGAAAGACTATATTTCCAAAAAATGACTCAAGCAATCATTTTTCATTCAATGACTATAAAAACATGCCTTACTATGGGGATTCATGGTAGATTTCACTTCAATAAAATCCAAGTTAATTTCTTAAAGTAAAAATATAGATGTGTTTCAGGGAAACAAGTATTTATTCAACAAGTATTTTTAAGTCCCTTGTAAGTCCCTTATGAATTTGTCACTATGACAAGCTGCTGTAGAGAAAACTAAAGGGACAGTATAAAATGGCAATCTAAATATAGACCAAATGTTTTCTTTTGGTGAGAAGGTTGTGTATTTACAGGTATTCTTAACTGAGTTTTACAAGCACACATTCTTGCAAAAGTGTTTATAGAGAAATAATTCCCTTAAATAAAAGTCACATTAATTATGGAATGAGAATATCTGAGATTCCATGAGATGATTATCAATATCAGTATAAGAAACACTGTTACGGGTTCTATAATTTACTGTTTATCAGCTCTATGAATTCTGTAAGATGGGAATGGGTTGCCTTTTAATTAAACGTGATATCCTTTCCAAGACAATACAAGGCATAAAATCTTGCTTCCAAGTTAATGCCATTAAACCATTCCACAAAGACAGTTATCTCTTCTTGCCTCATATTTCCCTTGTAGTAATTGTTTCCAGTGTTGGTTTTAAAATTCTGAGACCCAAGATGCTTTCCCTGGTATTTAATTTTCCATGCACTCCCTTAAACTTATCACATTTTTTCTTTACTATTCTGAGAGCATAGCTGACATTTTTAATAGTATTCTTATGCATATTAAACTGATATCAAGTGTCTTCTTCATCCCTCAATTCTTCAGGCTATACAAAAGTTCTTTTTTGCCCCCTCATAAGATTTATTGACTCAATCTTTAAATCATTCTAATGACTCTAAGTCATTGTTATGAAACTCAGTCCATTATATTTTTATATTCAAGGCCCTAAATTTGACACCATACTCCAGCCAAATCAAGAATGTTGTTATATGTGGTGGGGAGATAAATTTATAGTCTGTACTGTAAACACAAGCTCTTGTTTTTACATAATAGCAGCAGATTTTCTAACTCATGTAATTTTGAGATGCTGGTGGATGCCTCCACCCCTTATTTATTTTAACATGTAAAAATTAGCCTCTTCCCAGTAAAAGCTTCTCAGAAAGGTACCCAGTAAGAACTTTAATATCTTCTGGTAATGATAGCATCACCAGATTTTGATTTTAATGCTTATTAGAGAAATTCATTGGTGGGATTTCAAAGATGGCCATGATTGTACTTACCACTGCTTTATAATAATAGCAATGCCAGGGCAAAAAGGGTGACTAGAGAAAGGGATATTCCAAAGCCCCTATTTTTACCAGCAACTCATCCCTCATGTTTGGAATAGGTTTGGAAAGTTATCTTTTTTTCTTCTGAAATATGCGATACAAACACGAGACCTCAAATTCCATCTTCTTGTCAGGTACTATGTTAAGATCTCCTGCATTGAATTCAAGAGATAGTATATAAATATTTGTCATATCATTAGTCATGACAGTCTATTTTGATTAAAATGTGGGCCAAAATACCTGTCTTGGGACCAAAATTTGTGTTTGGAAATCTTTAGATATAAAACTGAATATTATTTTTCTCATTGATTTATATGAAATATGAAGTATTCCTCATTATTTCTCTCTGAAGAGAGCTGTAAATCTATTGCTGCCTTTTGTTCAATTACCAATTAATATTCTGGAAGTATTTTAACTTTATATAATCTTACCTGATTGGAAATTTGTTATAATTTTTTTTGTATCTCTTCTCACAGCCTGCCACATATTAGAATGCCGCAATGGAATGGCCCAAGATGTCATAAGTACTATTGGGCAGGCTTTTGAACTCCGGTTTAAACAGTACTTGAAAAATCCTTCTTTGAATACTTCTTGTGAAAGGTCAGCCAAGAGTTCTGTGATTATTTGACTTGCTTTCTATTTTAAAAATTAATATATTTTAAAATTGTCTAAGGAAATTAGTAATTATTTTCTTATAATTAGGTGCAGTTTCAGTACAAAATTATAGTGACATTTTCTATTTTCTTCCATTCATATTTATAAAGATATCTCCTCTTGTTTTGTAACAAGATTATAGGAGACAATAAAAGTAATAAACAATCAGCCCTGTTTCTCTAGTGTAACAGAAAGCTGTGAATTACATACAATTATAAAATAATAAACATCAACAAGTTCTTTGGATTTTTTTAAACCCCAGATCTCTTATGTAAAAACAAGAACCAAGAACAAAATAATAAGAATCAAATGTCTACTATAGAACTTCTTGCTTGCTAATTTGCGGTATAAATAGATCAGCTTTCACTAAATTGTGGCAGCGGGTGGAACAGGACATGACCCAATGATCTCGTTGTACTATCTAAAGCACAGAAAGTTCAGAATGAAAGCTGAACTCTTTTAGGTCTCTTAGACTCCACCATGTATGGAATGCAGCAAAGCCTCTGGCTTGCAAACACTAGGCTTGGAGATGTCCCTTAATGAGGTAGTCTAGGGTAGCAAATGAGAACCCTTACCAGAAGCCTTGATGCTGAATTCCAGAATAGCACATTGGTCTTAGTGCTATCATTTTGTTTTATGTATAATGAACTCAACAAAACTTTGTGAGTTGTCAGTAGAATCTGCTTGTTCCAAATAGTCTTGATATATTCTTTTTTATAACAAATTTTTATTACTTCTAATTTGAAAGAAAAGTCTATTTGTTTCTTCTTTACCCTGTTTCAGTTTTAAAACCAATTGCATGTTTATATAAATGTACCCACTTACTACATATGGTTCTAATATTTCCTTATGAGTCCCATATATTTGTCTGGATCTGTGAAGACAAGATAGCTAGCCATAGTGTTCTTAGTCTTTTTCCATCTTAGTTTAATAAACTGGGCCAGGTCTTCTACCCAAAGAACAATATCTAAATTTTCCTTGAGCAAAACATTTCCAAAATGCAACAATTGAAGCCTGCTGGAGATACCCAGAAAGCCTTTGCATTTTATGACAAAAATGCCTTATATTTAGAGAGTTTATTATCCCTGAGGGGAGACACAAAGCATCACCCTTGGCACTTTTTTTTTTTTTTTTTTTTTGCTTACTCCACTTTGATTGTCTACAAAAACTAAACAACTCAACCATCTGGTTGCTTCCATCCAGATGTTTGCTATCACGTAGCACAGCTATACACTTAAAACACAAATGCAAAGGTTTTCAGGATGATTTGCTTGGTTCTACTCCCTTTGCATCCTTTACATCACTTGAATTCCTGCCCAACCTCTTAGGGTTTCTTTTCTTTCTTTCTTTCTTTTTTTTTTCCTTTACAGTGAGGAGGTGCATATTGATGGTCTTTCAGAAGAGAGAGAAGATCATGAATACTACAATGAAATCCCAGGGAAGCAGCCACCTGCAGGTGGCATTTCAGATGTGCGGATCAAAGTTCAAACTACAGAACAAATGGCTTATTGCCCAATACGCTGTGAAAAGTTATGCTATTTAGTAAGTAATGTTTTATTGTTATGGAACCAGCAGCGTAACTATGGCCCTATCACTACAGCATTTCATTTGAGGGTTTCCAAATGCCAATTTAGGGAAAGTCTTATCTTTTTCAAATGGTTGGTGGGAGAGTGAATCATAGTCAGAGCCTGTACCAGATCATTTTTACTCCCAGTCCACCAACCACAGCCTCAGCAGTCTCATATCTCACTTCACTGGAAAGACCAGGCCATCCAACATATTATCCTCAATTTCACCCTTTCCCATCCCCAAGTCTTCCTGTGTTCTCTTTGCTTCTCTTTCTTAGCAACTGTCTCCAAAGCTAATTTTCCTCCTGTATTCTTGATCCAAATCTCTTCAATCTACCCTTGTCCTGTCCATTAATTTCTGTCTCAGTATTTATCCTCTGTCAGTTCTTTCTCTTCTGCAAATAAACTTGGACTCCTACAATCCAACTAATAATGTCCTACCTCTTTCTTACCTTCCTTTCACTCACAAACTTCCGGAAAGAATTGCCTCTGTCTTTGCTTTCCTATCTACATTATACTGTTAGGATTTGAACTCTGCTTGACAACTTGAAAGAAATTACTTTTACAATGATAATCTGCTTTAATTTTAAATCTGTTTTCCTCTCTGTATTTTGCATTTGTCTACAGCATTTGGCATGTTGGCTACCTCTTCTTTTTTAGAGATCTCTTATCTTAGCTTTCAAAGCCCTTCCATCTTGTCATTTTTTCCCCACATTTCTAGTTACTGCCTGTCTACCTTTCTGCTTGCCTGCCTACCTACCTTCCTTTCTCCAACATTTTATTATGAATGTTTCAAATGTACAGAAAAGTTAAAAGAACTATATAGTGAACACTCACATAATCAACATCTGGTTTCTACAATTCACATTTTACTGTATTTGCTTTATCACATGTTGCCGTTTATCGTTCATTGATCCATCTTATTATGAACACATTTCAAAGCAAGTTGTATCTTCTTTTCATCTCTTATTTTCTTCTATCGTCTCTCCTGAAAATCCCAGCCCCACCTTTCTACAACGTAAGCACTCTTTGAGGCTCTGCCCTCGGCTCTCATCTTACCTCTAGCAGGCCACCTGTGCACATACTTCCTCCACCTTCTGTCTTCAGCCCTTATTTACCTCTCCAGCTGTAATGCCAAGTTGTATTACCAAGCTTATTTATATAAAAGTTGAATTTGGCATTTTCTCCTCGACTTCAAACTCAATTCTTGCACTGATTTATTCATATTTATTATGGCATTGCAACTTTTTCATGAATCCATTGTCTTTTGTTTTTATCACATTTTTGGTTCCATATTGACTTTGTTTTCAAGACAAGATTACTCCCATGAAAATGTCTTTTGAAGCTACTTAAAACTTTTTCATTCCTGTTATCCTTTTAAATTCTGGTCCTCTCTTGCCTAGATGGTTCTGAAAGCTCCTTTCCTGTCTCCAGACTCATTCCTCAAACCCTCCTACACAGTATTGCCAGATAAATATTTCTTTTTAAAAAATATTTTTTAGTTGTAGGTGAACACAATATATTAATTTTTTTATGTGGTGCTGAGGATCGAACCCAGTGCCTCACACATGTGAGGCAAATGCTCTGCCACTAGCCACAACCCTAGCCCTCCAGATAAATCTTTCTAAAGCATAGAAATTACCCTTCTCAAAGGCATTAGTTGATCCCCATTCCATTGCTGAAGGCAGCTACATATATAGGAATGATTGAAGCCCTTTTATTGGGTGAGATTTTTAAGAATAAGTTTGCTTGGTTAAAAACCTCAGTAGAATAGGGTTCCAGTCTGTCAATTCAAAGTTAGGTGGAATGTTGGCTGCATGGCCCTTGTTTATACAATGTCCTGAAAGTCACTTTCTGTCTGAGACTTTAAGTCCTAAAATGTGAACTCCCAAACAGAAAAGGAAGCACAGAGGACACAGGACATTAGCAGTCTTTATGATCACCCCCCTACACGATCAGACCCACCTCTCTAACTCCAAAGCAATACTATGAAAAGAGTATGCTCTCCCCATCCAGAATCTCAGTTTCTGACCTGACATTTCTTGTGTTAGAAAGTGAAGTTACCTATTATATTCCTCTGGGAGTATTATAAGTATTTTTTCTTTTTAAAATTTATGCATGTGTACATAAATGTTTCACCATTTAAATGCACCAATAAAAATGTGGAAAGAAGAGAGCAAAAGAAAAAGAGAAAAAAAATAATGTTTCACAATTTGATTTTCATTTAGCCTGGAAACTCCAAGTGCAGCAGTGTATATGAGAACTGTCTGGAACAAAGCAGGGCAATAGGTAGGTACAGAGTCTTTTCCCATCTGCTACCTCCTGATCCCTTTTAAGTCATATGAATGTGTGTGGCCCTTGCTCTTAAAATCTTTATGGAAAAGTCGTGTATATATAACTAAACACACAATCCTTTTTTCTGAAGTCTTCCCAGAGAGGCCCAGAATGCACAGATGTATTACTAGAAAGGCTTGTGGTTCCCTCTTGTTCTTGTGTGATCCATCATGCTGATGATTTTGCAATATGGAGTCTATCACTTCTCTGGCATTATGAAAACTTTTTTTTCTGGAACGGTGCTGTCTCTGCTCAAAACTCAAGGGATTTTCATTTCAAAGACCAAACAGTAAACTAATATTATGAAAACTGCCTGTCAAATTCTTTAGGATTAAGATAAAACCTTTGTTCCAGGTTGGCAAAGGAAACAAAAGGGTACTTGAAATGTGAGAGTACCAATTAGGGGCCCATCTGCTCCATACTTACCAGGGTACTACATGTTTTTGTTTTATTTATTTGTCTATTTATTTATTTATTTTAGGGTACTACATGTTTTATTGCTGTGTGTGATCATTAATGTTAGGCAAAACTTGTTCACAATGCAAACAGGACATCAGCCGTCAGATTGGAAATACATTTTCATAAAACAAGTTATATTGCCAGTTAGTCCTTTCATTCTTAAAGTTGTATAAAATATTTATATGGGAAGGAAAGTTTTGCAGCTTTAGAGGGGGAGATGACTGAACAGTATAAATAATGCAGTGGAGGACAGAATTGGATAACCAGATCTAAAGCTAAGGCAGTATTTTAATGTATTTAAAAACATGACTCCTGATTAAAATATCATGGCATTCTTCAAGATTACTTAAAACTCTAAACATAATAATAGGAGATTGCCATCTACAAAGTAGTCACTTCAAGGATATATTTTATATTTATATTTCCTATGCAATTATGCCAGTGCAATCTATTAATTTTATTATTTTTACACAGTGGAGGGACATATGAGGATTTATTGTTTCTAGTGTAACTGATTATCACTCTCTTCCATCCTAAAAAAAAAAAAAAAGGAATAATAAGGGCTGGGGTTGTGGCTCAGAGGTAGAGTTCTTGCCTAGCATGCATGAGGCACTGGGTTCAATCCTTAGCACCACATAACAACAAAATAAAGATATTGTGTTCACCTATAACAAACAAACAAATAAATAAATAAAGGCATAGTAAGCTAAGGCAGTATTTTAACTTATTTAAAAACATGACTCCTGATTAAAATATCATGGCATTCTTCAAGATTACTTAAAACTCTAAACAGATTCTTAATAATATGACTAATCAAGCTAATAATTGTAAATGTGAATGTCTTTTTAAAATTATGCTAAGATCTGTAATTCCTCCTACCCTCTTTCTTTTCCTTCACCCAGGAAATTCTTAACCCAGGGATTTAACAGTTAGGGACATACCATGGATAACCTGTAATATTGTAAACATCTCCCTGTGCTGAGCTTCCTTGAAAATATTTCTGTGTCCTTTTTAATCTTATTTATATATTCTTCACTTATTCAGCAGTTCATTCAGTGATATTTATTGAAGACTTCTCATGGACCAGGCACTGTGCTAGCTGCTAGGGATAGACAAAACTAGCACTCATGTACTTTGCAGGTTAGTCAGAAAGACACACATGAACAGATGCTAACAAATGTAATGAATGTCACAAAGCCCAAGATGATATGGGAACAAATAGTAGGAAACCTATTTAATCTAGGGAACTACAGAAGGTCTTCCAAAGGAAGTGACAGCAAAATCAAGATCTGAGGGATAAGTAGGAATTATCCAGGTACAGTGGAAAAGACAGGGAAAGAAAGGGAGGGAGAGAAAAAGACAGGGAGAAACAGAAAGAATGAAAATGAATAAGCTTCAGAACTAAGTGTGCTGGCACCCGGACTGTGGGCAGAGACAGCATGGGGCAGAGAAGAAAACCTGTAACAATATCCTAAGGAACATGAAAGTTTTTACTCCTGCCCAGATACCTCCCTTTTCAGCTTGTTTCCCTCCTCTCCATTAAACAGTCATCATGATCATATCTTGCATCCTCAGTCACCCAGCTTCTGAAGAGAACTCACTGAATGAAAATTATCAACTTCTAGAATTAGTACAGTATTGTAAATCACAATACAACTATTGGAGGAAAGTGTCATGTTTCCCTCCTCTTCCACCCCTCCCCCTTCTTCTCCTCCCCCTCCCCCTTCTCCTCCTCCCTCTTCCTCCTCCTTCTGTTTCCTCCGCCTTCTCTTCTTGTTCTTCCTTTTCCTCCTCTTCTCCTTCTGCTCCTCCTCCTCCCCTTCTCCCAAGAGCTCTCATCTTGATTTTTATTTTTTACATTTTATTCTTCCTCCAAAAGAATAAATTTATGAAGGAGTTAACAGAGGCATCATTTTAACCTTGTTCAAGATTTTTCTTTTTATAAGTAAAGCTTAGTTATAGAATCCAAAATTGATCGTTTTTTATTATCTTGGTTTTATTTCTTACTTAAACCAACAGTGTAACTTCTTATGTCATATGTGGCATTTATATGCCCTAAGCCACCATAAGCAGATCCAAACACACAAGTAGTCTTTATAATAAAAGTTTGTTTAGACCTGGGATGTTTTTCCATAGAAATAATTTTAGCAATGATGCCTCTTACACAATTACACTACATGATACTATTCTGGTTTGCTTAAACTGGAGCATAAATGTATATTTCATTATGAAAAATACAGTTAAAATTCTGTTACTGCCTTTCATCATGGTGGCTCTATGGTAATGATTAACTGCGAACCTTGCAGAGTCTTGGGGAAATGAGAGATGGTGTTTGTAATTGAAAAAAGTCCTCCACTAGATATATTCTTCCACGATTAGTCCCTGAACTACAACATTGTTTTTGATGAGGAATCATAATATTAGAAAGCCTTCTTGCCAAATCTTAGCCACTAGCTGGGTGCAGTGACACGCCTGGAATCACAACAATTTGGGAGGCTGAGGAAGAGGATTGCAAATTTGAGACCAGCCTCAGCAATTTAGTGAGTCCCTGAGCAACAAGACCCTGTTTAAAAACAAAAAGCAAAGCAAAACAAAATAAAATGGGCTGGGGATATGGCTCAGTGGTAAGGGCCGCTGGGTTCAATCACTGGTACCAAAAAACAAACAAAAAAACCAATCTTGGCCACTAAAATCCTGGTGGGATAGAGGAATTCAACCCATGCTCCAGAGGCTACAAGAAAGGTCCCTTCTATTGTGGCAAAAGGCATTTTCCTACTGTAATGTCCTTTCATCCCTAGATAACCATAAGTCAGGTTCACATTTCAGGTTTATATCACCTTCCTGTGACTCCTGGGCATGTGTTTAAAAAGTGATCTGAAATTCTTGACCAACGAGCAAATTAGCCAGTTGCCAGAACAGCAAATATATAGTTTTTATGGCATTTTCCAGAGCTGCATTTGTAAGCATTTGAGAGACACCTATATAAATATTTTTAATAAGGTTTGGATTTTTCCTCCCAAGACATTTATTTATTCAAATATTGACTTAAAACTTGAATTTTGGGAGTATTATAAATATTGCAATAGGTTATTGAAGGATTTAATTGTATTTGTTCTAAACACAGAAATAATCTCTATCCTTAGCACTATATTTTTTCTGCATGGAAAAAAATAATTAGCAAAGTATAATAATGTTTCCCAAACCTTCAAGTTAAATGGAAATGTTGATATTCTAAATCAAAATGGTGTTAAAGTTCCATAAACCTTAAGGGCTTACACTTGAAAATTTTGTTACAGTACATATATGGTGTATATATTTATTTTTTGCCACAAATCTTCTCTTAGGCAGGTTGAATAGGTTTTCAGAGTAATATTTGGCACAGAGAGCTTTTGGAATGCATAATGGCTGGCATATGTGACTAAGCTCTCATCAACCATATACTTTAGCCTAGAATGATGTTAAATTTGGGTACTGGGTGGGGTGCCTTTTTTAAAAATTTAAGACAACATTGCCAACTTCAGTATGATGTTGCATTTAAAAAAAAAAGCAATGGTAGTTTTCAGGAGAGACTGTATACAGACATCAAGGCTTCTGTGTAATCCTTCTGAGTGGTAAATTTGATGTGGTCAACTCAGGCTAATACTTTGGGAAGAAGCAGATATGTTAAAGGTTGATTCAGGATCCTCAGAACATGATGGGGTAAAATATGCTAAGATAGGAAAACAGAATAGACATTCAGTCATTTGTTCATTTAGCTATTTTTCTTCTGAGTAATAAACAGGTAATGAAGATGCAAGATCTACTTAAAAAAATTTTTGTTCTAGTCTTTCTTCTTTAGGACTCAAGGAATTTGTGACCTGGAGGGGAAAGATAGACAAGTAAACAGATAAAATATATTATGGAGTGGCATCTAACCCAACTTGAAGGAAGGAAGAACTCAGGAGAAAGCTTTCTGAAGGTTCAGGTTTTAAATAGTTTCAGGGCAGAGTTGTATAGGACAAACAGGAGTTAAAGAATGGGGAGGGTTATTGCAGTAAGAGATAAATATCATGCATAGGGGCTTAGCATCTATGAATAAATAAACAGCTGAGCACTATGATAACTATTTATTGATTGCCTACCAAAAGGCAAAGTCTATGTTCAGTGTCTCACTAACATTAGTTCCTTTAATCCTCATGACTCTAGTTTAAAGATATGAAAACTGAATCTTGGTGGGTGTGGGGTATGGGGTGGGGTTACTTAACTTGCTTCAGGCCACACAGTAAGAGGTACCACAGGGGTGTGAAACAGGTTCATATGAATTTAGAATATTTGGTCATATTCTAATTTCAATAATTTTTTATGAGCACCAACTCCTAAACAAATGATTATTCAATCATTTGTTATAAATACATATGCCAGTGTATTATGCAGACATTATAAAATACACATAGAATACTTTGAAGTTGGAATTTATGGTAAACAGTTTTCTAACAGTCTTGCTAATCAGAACAACTAGATGCTATCATTAGATAACATTTTGAGACCCAGTATGCATTTAGAGCATTTACTGATAAAGAAAAGAGATGTAGATCTTCATTTTAAATCTTGGTAATTTTAACTTTTGGGGACCAAAGTCTCACCTGATTATATTGTTATTATTCATAACCTCATAATGCAACCAAGAAGAAGTTTGTACTAAGAGTAAAAGATTGATCTTCAATCCTTGATTTCTTTGCAGTGATCTTTTAGTCACTTTCCATTTGTGAAAGTAAATTTAGTTTAAAGTAGATAATACAACTCATAAATCCTCTTAACCAAGCAAATGGAAACTGTAATATGTTGCAAAATACACAAACAAAAGAGGTGCTCTGTTGACCTCTCTTCCCTACAGAAACCCCACTCCTCTCTCAGGAGATCCTACATATGAAGTATACCACTTGACCAGATAGCATGAAACAGCTGACAAACAGAAAAGGAGTAAAGGAGGAGCAGGTAGTAAGAATGTAATCTGGCTGGGCTTCCCCTACTTGGTGTACTCTTAAGTTTCTATACTGTCAGTTAACAGAATCATAGCACTTAACTCACCATGAGGTGTGGTCCACTGTGCGTTAGATTTGTTGTAGGGGACAGATGAGACAAGGCACTGAAGATAGCAGGAAATATTATTTGGCTGCAGCCAGGTTCAGAGTGTACAGCTTTCACTGTAATCAATTAATCCCCCGAATCCCAAGTTCAGGTAGTTTCAGAACTTTATGCCCAGAATGGAAGGGGAGGGGCTCAGAAGTTCATAGTCAGCAGAAGTTCACATAAAAGCAGCTTTTTCTTTCACTGTTTTGGGCAAGTTAACCCTTCAAGGACAACACCTGAGAATAGGAGAGCTGCTTCTCCCCTTTCTTTCCTCCCCCTGCCAGCTGTTACTGTGGAGCCCAATTGGTAACTTATTTTATCTTAGAAATGTAGACATCTCTCTGAAGCTCCAGCTCATGGCCAGAGCCCTTGTTAAAGGATTTGTCTTTTTATTATCATATTTTGCATTTGCAAGCACACTTTTACAAACTACTATATTGGATAAGTGTTTGTGAAAAACTAGTAAAGGGGTGTTCAGCACCTGCAGTGCTGATTTCTCCCAGGTCACTAAAATAGAGCAACAGGAAAATAGGAAATTTACCTACATTGAACTTTTGTAGAGACTCTTTTCTGGTAGTCTTAAAATCAATTATGGTGAAGATTTCTGAAGAAGCTTAGTTAAGATTTTCTGTGGAAGAAGGGGTGTCACTACAGGTCCTCAGAGGAGTTCAATGACTGAAGCAATAAAGAACTAATGCTGTTTTATGGCAAAGCAATGGAATGTCACTACTTCATGTGCACCTCATGGGATAGTACATTTAGCTAAGATTTAAGCATATTTGTTTAAACAGAAAAGCAAAATATCCTATCCTGGCATTCTTAGTAAAGAACTATCTGGATGCCACAGAGTACTTCATGCCATCAGGTAGTGCTAATGTCCATGAATTCAGTATTATATGCCAGGTATGTGCAGGGTGACAGCTGTGAACAAAGCAGACGTCATCCCTGTTTTCATAGAGCATATGGTTGAGATGTGTGCAGAACTCCAACAATTAATAACAAATAAAAAATGAATTGTTCTTGTGGTATGGGCTTCAGTGGTTAAGCACAAAATACTAGGAAAGAAGAGATCCAATCTAGTTTGAAGGGTCAGTGAATGCTTTCCTGAAGAAAGGAGTTTAAACTGACATCTGAAGGGCAAGAGTGATGGATAAGGGGAGAGAAGAGCACGTCAATCAGAGAAGAGGGGCCTTACTATGGAGACCATACTGCAAGGTCAGTGTGACCCCAAGCAGAGATCTGGAAGGAGAAAGGAGGAAGGGGAGCCAAGTACAATAAAACAGGGTTTACGGCTTGTCAAAGAGTGTGGGAAGCAATCAGAAGGTTTTTAAACTGAGAAATATGTCCAGATTTGCAGTTTAAAACATAATTGTAGGCACTATGTATAAAATAGAGTGGACGGGAAGAGAATAGCTTAAGAGGGAAGAAGGAGATAACCTGAAGGTAGAGTCCTATCCATTGAATAACAGAATGAAATATTGCAATTGGTGCAAGGCTGAGGTTGGCAAGAGAAAACTTTGAGAGTAAAACCGATACCAAACTTCCCATACTTAAGAATTTTAATTTATTAATTCATTTATTATTTTAAAAATATGCTTAGTTCACAAGAAGTAAGAATTTTGAATTAAGTAATGAAGCTTTTGAAAAGGAGTTTAACAAATAGATATTCAGATTTTATATAATATGTGTGTTTTCCTGATTGCTATGCTTCTACTACAAGCCAAGCCATGGATTGGAACTGTTTGCTGAGACAATTGCAACCCCACCCCTCTTGTTTTTTCTCCAGCCATTCCTCTTCAGAATCTTTTTGCTTATCTTTGGTCTGCTTTGGGGATAATGGGTCAGCTGAGGGACAAGGCAGAGAAGGAAAGGAAGGCCAGAGAAAAAGTGTCTTTTCCTTGAAGATTGGTGCATGTCTTGATTTTATGAGTGAGACCCTAAAAATCAGTGTTCAGTTTTTGTTTAGAGTAGGCATGACTTAATAGCTTCCTGTCATTTCTCTACTTAAACATGATTTACTGTTACCAAAAATATAATGAATTGATCACTGCTAATCACTATAGGTAATGCCCAGGAGAAAGGGGTGCACTGTCAGCGAGATGCCTCGTTAATGAAGCACACATGTCGAATGGATCTTTTTGATGACCCTTGCTACATCAATACGCAGGCTCTTCAAAGTACATTCAGCTCTGCTCAGAATCAAAACCCATTTCAGCCACTGGGGAGCTCATGGCACCATGGAAGTAAGTATCTACTCATTGTCTGTTTGGTTTCCTGGGGGCCATGCTAATGAATTACAAACCGTGTATCTGAAAACAACAGAACTCTTCTCTCACAGTTATGGAGCCCAGAATTCAGGTCTTGTATGCTGAGCTTTGAAGTGTTCTCTTCCCTATATGGATCTGATTAAAGACCTTGCCCCGTTTACTCCCATTGGTTACCCTATTTTACCTGATTAGAATACTGTACAATTTTCCTCCCATTGGTTACTTTAGAATACTGTCTACTTTATCCCCATTGGTTATTTTAGAATACTGAACCTGTGGAGGGAATTGCCATGGTCATGGGACTCATCTCCCTGTCTTGTCCTCCAGTGGCATTTTTCTTATACCCTGCCTCTGCCATCTTGTTGTCCCCGAACTCCTGCTTAACATTTCTGCTTAACATTTTCCCCTGAGAGATATAATCTCAAAATTCTTTTTGGGTGGCTGAGAAGCTGAGATCTTCTTACAGCTGCTTCAGGCTGACAGTGGACTGTTGTTCCTCTCTATTTGGGATTCACAGAACTCTTGCCCTGTCTGGTCAAGAGGAGACAGCGGAATGCCTGGGTCCATTTGTGGGATCAGTTTGTAGCCTTGTTGTAGTACCAGCTGGAGTTTGATTGCCTTTAAGTGAGAGGAGAGAAGTCTTATTAGGTAGGTTTAATAGGCAGGGTCCAAATAACAGAATCAAAAGGAGTATTAAAAGGGGTCCTGCCAAGGATAGTAACCAAGACATCCAGTTCTATAATTTTAACTATGACTATGACTTTGACTGTGACTTTACTTTCAAATTTTGGAGGCTTGGTATGTTAATTTCTTTGCTGCACCCATAATTATCTCAGATTGATTTGCATAAAAGCCACATTCTTCTTCCAGTAAGAGACATAATCTCCCTTTCCCAGCAGTTAACAAATCTAGTCCCATTCTGTTTTGGAGAGTGACTGCTGCTAATGAATCTGATTTTGAAGGGAATTATGCTTTTCACTATTTCAACTAGGCCACAGGAAAGATCTTTAGACAAGCTCTGAAAATTAAAAGGGAGGTGGTTAGCCCCTCTACCCCTGTGCCAGTTGGCTGCTGGCAATTCTTGATGTTCCTTGGCTTGGATGCACTCCATTCTAATTTTGCTTTGGTCTTCACATGGCCTTCCCCTGTGTCTCTGTTTCAGATCTTTCCTTTCTTGTAGACAACAATCACTAGATTTAGAGTGAAATGAGATGATTGTGTGAAATAAGATCAGCTCATCTTAAGATCCTGGATTTAATGATATTTTCAAAGACCCATTTGCTAAATTAGATCACATTCATAGGCATCCAGGATTAGAATTTGAAATTATTTTTGGGGGACATTATCTAACTCATTATACTGTCTCTTGTTTTTAAAGAAGACTATTTCTTTGACTTCATTTTTAAGGGGTTGTAAAGATTTTTTCTTAAGTTCCTCCCCATGGTTAATAATAGATTAGAACTTTATGGAAAAATTTTGGGTTTCAAGTTTTGAGTACATTAGTTTTGAATATTCTTTCAAATACTTTGAAATTATTCTCATTTTTTGGTTTCTGTAATGTGTTTTTACTGAAGGAAGGATTGTCAAAACTAGAATTTTGAATTTGTTTATTTGCATGAGGTACAATGGATACCATTTATGGTCTGTTTAGTGATGTCATTTATATTATTTAAAAAAAATCCTTGATAAGTCATCTCTATAGCACTAAAATGAGCTGGCTCCTTTCTTCAACCATATACTGTAGGTAAAATGTAATAAGACAAATATCAGTTTCCTGATAAATTGCTACCAGGAGCAAATGCATAAACAAGAACATAAATAAAAGCAAAATAAACCAGACACCTACAATCAACTGAAAAATAAATAAACAAAAATGTTTTTCATAAAATATTGAAGCTTGTTGGTTTTGGAGATTGGCTTGATGTCAAATTTGGTTTGCTCCAAAACTAGAGAACCAGTCCCTGAGAAAGTCCTTTCACTAGCCCAGGAAGTATCTCCAGAACTGCCAAAAGCAAATTTCCAGCTAGTGTGGCTGCAATGGTAAGAAAAAATTTAAAAGGAGATTTTGTTGAGCCTGAACTTCAACAGACTACCTTAACTCTCTAGACAAAGAGAGTTCTTATTGCCAGCCAGGTGGCAAGCAGTTTGTCTTTTTGCACACTTTCTTAGATCATTTTTGGCATCCAAACCAACCAAGTAGGGTTCTCTGGAAGCAGACACTAAGATGGACCTTGGCATGCAAGGTTTTTATGGGGATCAATATCAGAAAGCAAAGAGGAGAAGGAGAAACTGGGCAGAGGGGAAAGCAGAACTGTAGAAGTACAGGCCTAATAAAGCCTTAGCCAGCCCCACAGAGAGCCTGTGTGTTTTGTCAGAATTGTCCTACATTGAGCCTAAATGGCTGGGACTTTATAACCCCATGTATCTCAGTCTGGATGTGTACCACTCTAAGGAAGATAAAGCCTTGGGGCTGCTGAGACGGACCCTGGAGGGCTGGTTAGCTGGTAGCTTACTTCTACATGGGAGCAATTGGTTCTTCCTTGAAGGGGAATCTAGGCAGTATATCTCTGTCCACCATAGAGGGCATCTTGTAAGATGGATGATAGGAAGTGAAATGAATTCATATTTCTACAGTAAGTTCACTTGATTGTCCCACATATAATATCTTGGGTGGATAAGATAATATTTGTTATAGGGTTGGTTTTAAAAGTAGCTTTATGAGAGGTGTACGTTTGATAGAGACACAACATATCAGAAAACTTATTTAGTGAGTTGTCCAAATTAGGTGATCTGGGGTATTCTTTGATTCAGAACTCTACTTTCTTTATAATTGAGTCTTTGGTATTAAAAATACTTAGAATCTAAGCAAAGAAATTTTTTGTGTCATAGATAATTAAGTAATATGAAAAGGCAGAAATAATTCAAAACAAAATTTCTACCAATAGTTGAAAATAAATAAGGCCTTCCTTGTCTGAAATTGCAATGTCAAGGTATATTTTCCCTGAAGAGCTTCTTTTTCACCTTTTCTTATTCTCCCTACTTTAGTGGCAGCATGTTTAATAATTTAGACCTCCAGTACTTTCTTGTTCTTTGTTTCCTATTAGAATGTAATGTACCATGACCTCCTGGGCTTCTTGTTGCTCTCTTGAGGTAAATTTCAGCCTTCTGTGACTCCCTCCAAAAAAATTAAATCCAACTCCAAAAGCATCAATAAAGTTGATTTAAGAAAATTTTAGGAGAACATGGGATGAGGTAACTTCATGCATATTTTTCTATAAAATGTTGTAAATGAATCTTTAATCTTTCCTCCATAATATTTCTTCCTGTTTCCTTCCTTCCTCACTAAAATACTCTTTAGCTATTTTAGGCATATTTAGCCTCTTTTATCCAGACAAAAACTTACTGATCTATGAAGAACTAAAAACAAAACAAAAATCCATAGTTATGAACCTGTTATTGTCCATGCATGCTCTCAGGGCTCTTCAACTCATCCTGTCACACTATCAATATAAGAAAAGTTCTGACACATGTTTATTCTTACTGATCATGGCAGAAGGGCATCTTTCATTCTTGAACTGATTTTCTGTCTCTATATTATTAATTTCAGTCTAAGCTGCCATAAGCAGGAAATGCCTCAAAATGCTCATATAAAAAAGACCAACATTTTATTTCTTTTACCCATTGGTTCAAAGACTGGGATATAGGGCTGGTATAAGGTTACATTGCTGTTCTTGACATCTGGCTTCCATCTCTGGTCTAAGGTGGTTGTTTGGATTCTCACATTTGTATTCAGCCAGTGGAAGAGAGGCAGGCAAGAAGAGTGCTGTATATTCCTTTGAAGGATATGACCCAGAAGTGGTGGATATTATTCATTATCACTGGTAGAACTTGTTGTTATACCCACCTGCAAGGGGAAGCTAGAAAAGTTACCCTAGCTAGGTGCCTAGCCAAAACTTTGGAGTTCTATAATGTAATGAAAGGGAAGATAGACATTGTTAGACAAGTAATTGTCTCTGCTATGGTATATTTCTGCCTCTCAAATATGAACTTTTATTTTCTCATATAACATTGTGCCCTCTTCCCAAGGGAGATCCACAAATACCCATCCATTTATAGCATCCAAGATTGGATAGGTAGCCCTATTATCTGCCAAGTTATCTGCCCTCCTTTACACCCAAACTTAATAGTGGAAAAGGGATAAGATAACTGTACTAGAAACACACATTTGCAAAGGGAAGATTGTAGCAGCAAGTCATTGCAACTTCCAAATCCTGCCAGCAGCGGAAGCTCCTTGAACTAGAAGTGGAGAATGTGGTTTGCTTGGACCCTGGCTCAGCTATTTGAGAGGACTTTGTTATCATGGATCTAGACTGTGCCCTTTTCGTTGACCCTGCTATTATCTTCTACATGTACACCTAAAGTAAGTGTTGGAGAATGTGCTTTTCCTGGAGGCTCTACCACTTTTGCAGCCTGTATCAGTTTGCTGTCAAATTGCTACCAGGAGCAAATGCTTAAACAGGAACATAAATAAATATGTTTTGTGTTGGTAGAGGCATATATGAGGCATTGTGATTTCTTTGGAAATGTGATTTACTCAAGAACTTAGTAGGATTCTACTTTATTTGATTAGAGTCCTTACCATGTGAAGTTTTACATAATATTCCTTTATTGTCCTTTTATTACCTAAAGGACATGTAGTAATATCCCTTCTCTCATTCCCATTATTGGCAATTTTCTCCTTTTTTACTTGATAAGCCTTCTTTTAGGTTAATTAACTTATTGATATTTTCAAAGTACCCAGGTTTGGGTTTAATTTTCTCTTTTGTTTTCTATTTCATTGATTTCTATTTTTATCTTTATTATGTCTTCCTTTTGCTCTCTTTGGATTAAATTTTCTCATCTTTATCCAGCTTCTACTATATTTTCTTCTAGAGACTTTACAGTTTTATTTCCATAATAAAACATTTATTCCACTT